GATTCCAGGTATTGATCCATTCCTTTACATTGTCAAATTTCTGGGCATAGAGTTTTTTGTAGTACTCAGAGGTAATGTATCTCTGTGACATCTGTTGTTATTTCCTCTTTATCGTTGCTGATTGAGGCAATTAGAGATTTTACTTTTCTGTTTCTAATTAATCTGGCCAAAGGTTTATCAATTTTTATTTTTTCAAAACCCAACTTTTTATTTCATTAATTTTCTGAATGATTCTTTTGTTTTCAATTTCATTCATCTCTGATTTAATTTTCGTTATTTCTTTTCTTCTGTTGGGTTTGAGATTAGATTCTTCTTTTTTTTCCAGTACCATAAGATGGTTAGTGAGTTTGCTGATGTGCTCTCTTTCTGTTTTTTGAATGTAGGCATCTAATGTGATAAATTTCTCTTTAAAGACTGCTTTTGCTGTATCCCACAGGTTTTGGTAAACTTGTGTCTTCATTGTTTTTGTTTGAGGAATTAACAATTTCCTCTTTTATCTCTTCCTACACCCAACTATCATTCAGCATAAAATGTTTAATTTCCATGTCTTTGTGTGGGGATGAATGTTTTTGTTGGAGTTGAGTTCCATCTTTATTGCCTTGTGGTCTGAGAAGATACAAGGTATAATTTCTATTCTTTTAATTTTGCTAAGATTTGATTTATATCCTAGATGTGGTCTATTTTGGAGTATGTACCATGTGCTGATGGGAAAAATGTATATTCCTTAGCTTTGGGATGGTGTGTTCTGTAAATGTCTATTAATCCTATTTGTTCTAGAGCAGTGGTTCTCAATCTCTCTTTAATACAGTTCCTGTGGGTTGCAACCCACAAGTTGAGAACCACGGTTCTGGGGTCACATTTAGGTCCTTTGTATCTTTGTTTAGCTTCTGTTTAGAGGATGTGTTCAGTTCTGTCACAGGGGTGTTAAAGTCCCTGACTATTATGGTGTTATAGGATATCATGTTGCTTAGACCCATCAAAGTGTGTTTCATAAATCTGGGAGCATTTAAGTTGGGTGCATAAATATTTAAAATTGAAATATCTTCTTGTATTATTCTTTTGGTCAGTATGAAGTGTCCATCTCTGTCTTTCTAAACTTTAATTGCTTTAAATATGCTTGTATCTGAAAATTAAGATTGCAAGCCCTGATTTCCATGTGCTTGAAATACTGTTTTCCTTCCTTTAACCCTGAGTCCAGATTTGTCCTTCAAGGCCAGGTGTGTCTGCTGGAGACAACATAGGGATGTCTTGTGTTTTTTTTTTTTTTTTTTTTTTTAAATCCAATTGGGCCTCTTCATTGGAGAATTCAGTCCATTGAAATTTATTGAGAGAATTGGTAAGTATGGTGGAGTTCTATTCATCTTATTTTTTGTAAGTTCATTGTGTTGTCTTATCCTTTGTGCCATTGTGGAAGCTAAGTTTTGACCTTTAGCTTCTGGATGTTTACTTTGCTGGTGGTCCATTGTGGTGGTCAGTGTTGAGAATAGGACTAAGTATTTACTGTAAGAGCTGGTCTTGTTGTGGTGAATTTCCTCAGTGCTTGTATATCCACAAAAGATTTGATTTCTCCATCAATTTTGAAGCTTAGTTTACCAGGATACAGAATTCTGGGCTGAAAATTGTTTTGTTTAGGGTTGTTGAAGGTGGATGATCATCGTCTTCTGGCTTGGAGGTTTTCAGTTGAAAAATATGCTGTGATCCTAATGGCTCTATCTCTGTAGGTCAATTGGTGCTTGCTTCTGGCTGTTTGCAGAATTTTTTCTTTCATCTTGACTTTGGACAGGTTCATTACAATGTGTCTTGGAGAGGCTCTGTTTGAGTTGATGACCCTGGGATTGGTATCTGTGGGAAAGGAGTGTGTCTGAATCTTTAGTTAAACTTCAGAAGTTTTCATTTATGATAGTTTCCAGTAGGGGTTTTATTTCTTTGGGATAATCTTCTCTTTCAGGAAACCCTTTTATTGATATGTTTGAACACTTCAGGGGATCTTGTAGTTCTCTAAGTGACTGTTCTGCTTTCTCTTTTTTTCTGCCTCTTTAACTACCTGGGTTAACTTGAAAACTTTATCCTCTAGCCCTGAGGTTTTTCTTCTGCATGGTCTAACCTAGTTTTGATACCTTCTTTACATTCCCTGATTGTCTCCTTTATTTCCTTAAGCTCTGCCATATCCTTTGTATATTCTACATATGTCTCATCTGGCTTTTGGTTCTCTGTTTCCATTTTCTCATCCATTCCTTTTATTGTCTTTATCATACACATTTTAAATTCCCTTTCTGCCAAGTCCATTAATTCTTTATAGGTGGAGTCTTGTGAAGTAGGTGCCTCATGGTCTCTTGGGGTAGTTTCTTTGTTTTGGTTTTTCACATTGCCCTAATTTTTCTGTTGGTTCTTCCTCATGTGTTCTTTTTTCTTGTTCACCTTCTTGTCCTCCTTTTTCCTTCTCGCTTCCTCCTTTGTTTCAAATTACCTTGTCTCAGAGCTAATGAGTCAGATTTCCACATTCTGAATCACATGCTGTATCCAGCTTACCACCTTCTGTTTGTGCTCCTTGAGCTATGACTCTGGGTAAGGTCCTCATACCAGCTATGGCTGGTTTTTCTCTTTTTCCCCATCATACTAGGAGAGCTCAGCTGAAAGATCCTTCTCATCCACCATCTTGCTCTTCTACTTGATATTTTTAAATAAATTCATAACTAAATACTTTTCCTTTCTGCCATCAATATTATTCTTAATGATTGGTCACCTTAAAACTCTATTAGGTCTGCTCAAAGCTAAGAACTAGAAACTACCTGAGTTGCAAAAACATTATTCTCATTTTAAAAACCAGTGCCAATATTTAAAATACTTTGTTTGTTTTGTGTCCTGGATGTTTTCTGTGACAGAGAAACTGTACACAGTAAGATCAGTGATGGAGGAGGCATACGTATTCCCTGTGTGAAAGGAGAGGTGGAAAAGGTAAGTGTGTCTCAGGCAGCTGTGTCTTACAAGGGCACTGTGTGGGAGCTGAGCCCTTCTGACCACCTGACCGCCAGTAGCCCTTGGAATGTCATCAGGTTTCCCAAGGAGTAGCACACCTCAGCTAGACAATGTAGATGGTGATAGCACACCTTGTATGTTAATGCTCTCATGGAGATATTACGTGTAAGGGTTTAGAGAGGAAAGTGTGAGGTAAGAAGGATAGGTAACTTATGTTGGTTTGACAGATATGGAAGGCAAACAATGACTTTCTGTAATGGTTTGGAGTTTGAAAGCACCTTTTGGTATTATATGCTTTGATCATCTTATTAACTTTGTGGGGTATCTATGACACATGAGAAAAATGATGTTAGAGGGAATTTTTTAAAGAGGTTATTTAGAAAGTCTTTCTTCTTCTTCTTCTTCTTCTTTTTTTTTTTTTTTTTAGAGAGGGGGTCTTTCTCTGTCACCCAGTCTAGAGTGGAATGGTGTGATCATAGCTCACTGCAGCCTTGAACTTTGGGGCTCAAGTGATCCTCCCATCTCAGCTTCCCAAGTAGTTGAGACTGTAGATATTTGGCACCATGCCTGGCTTATTTGTTCTACTAATCCTCCTGCCTTAGCCTCCCAGTGTCCTGAGATTATATGTGTGAGCTACTGTGCCTGGTCCTAGGAAGTCTTTCCATAGCATTTTTAATTTGTATCACCAATGGCAAAATATATTTAGAAGATTAAATCCTAATTTACTTTCATTTGGCCATGAAACCATGGTAATTCATAAATATGTGAAATACTGTAGCCAATAAATCTTAAACTACTAGGAAATATTTAACCACCTGAAAAATTCGGCATGGAATATTATTTCATGGGTGCATACTTAGGTTTATCGTATACTGAGGGGTTGAGTCAAATAGAGTGGGAAATGTCACTAACCATGTGCATAGCTTTCATTTTGGGTGTTCTATTGTGATTTATATTAACCTTCCTCACCCCCCACTTTCGATGAACTGTAATGGTCTAGGTTATAAATTTAGATTATAAACTAATAACTGATGAGTTTAGATTATGAGATTAAGTTCTACATCTTCTGTCTTTTGTGAATGGAGGAAGAGTATCACCTTGGTCTTTTTTAGTGATTACTTCTATCAATGTCATTTCCCATCAGGAGTACCAAAATCAAACATTAAGAGAAATACGACCAAAATCAAACATTAAGAGCTGTTAATTCTTTGTTTTCACTGCATGTTTTTGATGATTAAAAGTAATTTGCTTGGGCATGGTGGCACATGCCTGTAATCCTAGTATTCTGAAAGGCCAATGTGGGATAATTGTGTGAGGTCAGTAGTTCAAGATGAGCCTGAGCAAATCAGGACCCTAACTCTACAAAAAATAAAAAAAAATAGCTGGGTGTTTGATGGATGCCTGTAGTCTCAGCTACTCAGGAGGGTGAGGCAGAAGCATTGCTTGAGCCAGGACTTTGAGGCTGCTGTGAGCTGTGATGACAATACTGTACTCTAGCCATGGTGATGGAGTGACACTGTCTCAAAATTTTTTTTCTTGTTAAAAATGAAATTTGTGACTCTCATGAGGCATGAGTCATAAAGTCATGACGAGACCAGAGTTTGTCCTCATGTTGCTGGTGTCCTCTTTCCTGACTGCCGGCTCTTTCCACCCAGGGAGTTCTAGAACTAGGGATGACATGCTTGCATCCTGCTGTAGTTTCTGAAAGTGTCAAAATTTCTTTTCTTCCATCCCCAAAGAAGAAAAAGAGTCAATTTTCAAAATACATTTTAATAGACACATGTTCCAGGTGGTGTAACATTGTATTTCAAAGACAAATTCATTCCTGTAATTGTTTTTTTATAAGTCCATATTCTATAGGTGAAAGGATATTTTCTGAAATTTCAAGGATGTTTTCAGGTAAACTGAGAGTTTCTTCTGAGATGCTCCAGTTTGTCTCAATCTATTCCATGATGTGGTTAATGAAAATGACTCACACGCGTCACCAAATTTGAGGTGGTTTACTTGAGAAAATTTGAAAAAGGTTACTGAATTCCTGGAAGAAAATAGAACACTTTTAAGTGTAGATAAAAGCATATAGAATTTAAACATTTTTACCTGAGATCAAGATTTCTAGGCATAGGAGCATCAAGATTAACCCATCTTTTCCTGTCTATAAGGGTATTTGGTCCTAGATAGTCCCATGTTAAATAATGATCTGTGCTTACTGGTGGGAGAAAAGCTTATTTTTGCAACATTTCCTGAGTCCCATCTGAGAGGAATGGCGAGTAATGGCAGGACTTTCTCCACTAACTGCAGTCTGTTACTAGGGGCTGCTTTCAGTATTAATTAGGAAGGCGCTGAGGCTCATCTGTCATCCGTGGATAGGAAGAGAATCACAACCACCTGGCATGTGTCTGCTGTGGGCCTGTGTGCAGGTGTGGGCATGTGTGTATGCGTGTGTGGACACATGTTATATGTGCGTGCATGTGTGTGTGTGTATGTGTGTGCATGCTTGTGTGCACGTGTGTGCTTGTGTATGTGTGTTCTGAGGCTCTCAGGTGTACATGTGTGCATGCGCATGTGTGTGTGCATGCTCGGGTGTGCATGTGCACGTGTGTGTGCATGTGTGTGTTCTGAGGCTGTTCTCAGGTGTGCATGTGTGTGTGTGTGTGTGTTTGTGTGTATGTACTGGGAAAAGAGGCACAGTCTGCTTACCCCAAATAAAAAGTATGTTATATGCCAGTAATTATGAATCCTTTTTATGGAAGACAGACTGATGACCAAAAACACATGAAAAAATGATCAGTGTGTCTAACCATCAGGGAAATGCAATTCAAAACCACATTGCAGTATCACCTCACCCCAGTGAGAAAGGCCCACATCATAAGTCCCTGAGTAACAGATGCTGGTGTGGACACAGAGAAGGGAAGACTCAGGCACTACTGGGGGACTACAGACTGGTGCAACCTCTGTGGAAAGAAGTATGGAGAATCCTTGAAAAACTTAAATTAGACCTACACTTTGATCCTGCAGTTCCTCTACTAGAGATTTATCCCAAAGAACAGAAGACATTTTATAAAAAAGGTACTTGTGCTACTTGAATGTTCATAGCAGCTCAATTCACAGTTGCAAGGACATGGAAACAGCCCAGGTGCCCATCCCCTCATGAATGGGTTAAGAAAATGTGATATGTAGGGAGTACATACTGAGTAGGGAGTACTACTCAGCCATAAAGATGTTATCTTTGATAACAACCTGATGCAAGTGGAGATCATCTTCCTAAGTGAAGTATCACAAGAATGGAAAAACAAAAACCATATGTGCTCAGGACCACACTGGAACTAGTTGATCAACACCTGTGTGCTCACAGGGAAACAAAACTCAACAAAATTTGGTGGAGGGATGGGTAGAAGGGGAAGGGTAAATTCCCATCCAGTGGATACTTTGAACAGGCTTATTGCACATTGCACACTTTCTGGGTGAGGAACAGTCTATAACTTTGACTTAGAATTTACAGAAGCAAACTAGTAACCAAAATGTATGTAGTGAAATAAATTTACAGACGTTTAACACTTAAATTAGTTAAATTAAAACAATTCTTCCAGGGTTAACGTGATACCGTTGGTGGCTCAGTAAATATTGTCCCTCATGTTGCAGGGATCAATTGTGAGGAAAGGGGCTCCCTGATCTCACTTGTCAAGACAAGATGAAGAACTCCTCCCTTTATGCATACGACTTTCATGGCCAAGGAGCTTTGCCCAAGCTGGGAGGATTTACCATTTGGCAGTTCTGTGGTGGTGTCCTGGGCAGTGCTTGTCCCCCTCCGGATGCCTGCAGGGGGTGTCACTCCAGACTCATCGTCGTCTCTGGGAGTGGTGAGGTGGCCCTCTGGGGTTCCTGCAGGTAGGTTTCCGCCCTGGACATCTGGATTAGCCCTGGCCTGACTGGCGGGCAGGACGCCTCCTGGGAACAGTGGATGGATGATGAGGCCTGTGAAGATTTGTGGGGCCACTGGCTGGAATGAAGGAGGCAAGCAGAAAACAAAATCAAAAGAAACACATGTTTAGTCTAGTTAACCATCTTTCCTCTTTTGAGGGCATTAAAACCAGAGAGAACAGCAAAGACCGGGCATTCCTCAGAGGACACACCACCCTCAGCCCAGCCCAGCCCAGCCTGGCGCTGGGCTCCTCACCCAGATTCCCAGCTGTACTTCCGTTCCCTCAGACACAATTTGTTATTATCAGGTGTGTCTAGAGGTGGACTAAGGCAGACACTTCCACAGTTGTGATGGGCTATATCTCTGCAACTAACATAAAACATAATCTCTTCGCCCATGAAAAATTTAAAGCATATAATTTAGAAGGCACAAGATCAATGAAAAAATTGGTTCCAGTGGATTAATGGATCTCTGTCTTCACAGCTTGCATCTCTTTAAGTTTCTTTTGATGTGTTTTTCAAAGGTGTTGGAATATTGAGTCAGAAATATTTCTCTTGGAGACTCAACCACTTGTGTGGTTTATTGTGGCTACAGGAGAAACTCCTCTCTGCTGGAGTGTTTCATTGTTGGAGAATTCTGACTGAGCAGGTCTGAGGCAGGACCCAGCAATCTGCACGTGTAACAAGATTTTGAAGTCTTCTGGATTAGGGGGCTGTGACTTAATTTGGGAGAAACTGTCTTAGATCTGAGAAAGAGTGAACCCAGAGTTAGACTATTGCTAGATGAGAGACTGGAGTAAAGGCATTTTCAAATTGAGGCCTGTGACACCCACAGTTCTGAAATAAAAAAGGCTAGTGGCAGCCACTGTCGGGGAGGGAGTAGACCAGCCTGCATCTGTGTGCCAGGGTGATAGCTGTCTCAGATGTGTGTGTTTGTGTGTGTGTAGCTGCATGGAAAGTGTAGTTGTTACTGTGCACAAGACTGAAAAAAATGCTTGAAAACCACAGGGGTTGTAAATAGAAAAATGGGTTTGGATCTGCATTTATTTTTTTTTCCCCTTTCAGACCTAAATTACTTGAGCCTATCAAGCCCCAGTTCATTTACCTATAAAGCTGGGTCAAAAATCCCTGCTTTTGTAGTTTGGTGAGGGTTGAAGGCAGTGAACACAGAGGGTGTGTTAAAGTGTGTCCTGCGGTGTTGGGTGCACGTTGATGTGCGGGGCTGTGGTGTTGGTTGTGCAGCAGACGTGCATGTCCTGAGGTGTTGGTGTGCGGCGGACATGCGCATTCTGAGGCGTTAGGTGCACAGCGGACATGCCTCGGGTGAGTGGTGGGCATGCGCATCCTGAGGTGTCGGGTGAGTGGTGGGCATGCGCATCCTGACGTATTGGGTGTGAGGTGGACTTATGCGTCCTGAGGTGTGGGCTGTACAGCGGACGTCTGCACCCTGAGGCCTCGGGTGAGTGGTGGACCTGCGCGCCTTGATGTGTTGGGTGAGTGGTGGACGTGCG